AGACATGTTCCTGTGAAAAGACTGTTGCGATCTCGCGCCGCCCCCAATATAGATGATTTTTGATTCAAAGGCCAGATCCAGTTTCTACAGTCGTCACGCGCGCACACGTCCCTTACTTTCTCGGGCACCCGTTACCCGAAACTTAGTCACCACGCCTTTGCTTACAGATTGTAGACCCTTTAAACGTATCCGCTGTTGGGGAATGAAGAACACTTGCGAAAACAAGTCCGAAACCTTGGCCAAAATCAGTTTGCGAAAGGTTCATGACCACAATGTGTGCTTGTAGAAGGTACGCTGAAGGACTTGCGGAAACAGAGGGAAAGGATAAGCACCTCCAGCTCACCCAGTCTCATTGTGGCTTTGTTTTGTGCACGGTTTTCTCCAATCAGTCTTTGCACACAATGATGTCCGTTACAGCTGTGGATGCTAGGAGGAACCAGGTCTTGAGAGAACCATATTTAAATTCGTCACATTCGTTGGTGGCCTATTGCACATTGACCATCGCATAACGTCTCCATTGCCCGCCTTGGATTTGCCGTCACATTTGCACATGACAGTGAAGGCAAAGCTACAGTTGCCCCGAGGTGCCTTGTTGTTCCAGACCAGGGGGTTCCCTCCATCGCGGGGTTCCAAATGCAGAGTTGTGGGGAGGTTGCTAATGGTTTCCGGATAGCCAAGGGTGAGCCAGTTCCCAACATCCAAATCTACGTGTTGGCCATGGCCTGAGTTCACATGATGCTGCAGATTTGGACCCTTGCAAGACTAGGATCCAGAGATGAAGCCACAACCGCGCAATACTTGGAGAGGGTGGTCATTGAAGATCCAACCAAACAAAAACACATCCGTCAAGGTGCGGAATGCTCGGAGAGCTTTGCGTTGGAGGGCCCCAGGTTGGCAAACGCATATGTACGCGTCACTTGCACGCGCAATCCCAGATTTTGCTTCCAACAAAGTCAAAGGTGGCTGCAGGCTACGTGAACCGGGCAGATCTGACAGCTGCAAATTTTGTGTCCAGCTGCCGGGTTTGCCGGGTTTGACATGACTGGAGAGAACCAGCTTCTGTTTGATGATGATTTTAGACACATTTGCACGGCTCGCCAGGCCAAATCCTTTCGAGGGCTACGCATCGGAAGAACCGGAGGTCCACGCATGTCCGAGCATCTATCATTGCATGAGCGGGGTCTACAGGGACCGACGCGCTGGCCCAGCGGGCCAGGTTGGGGACAACGATGTGGGCCTAGCGACTCGCAGGTTTGGACAATTTGGAAAGTCGTTCAAGAGACATGGCTTCCATTGCGTCAGGCTCCTTGTTGGGCAGCTCAGTCGGTGGAGTCCGCTTCCCCAATTCACGGTGCCTGGGATATTTTATTTGTTAACTGTTTCGCTACGGTTCAGATTGTTGTCCCTGCCTCGAGGCGCGCGCCTGTACAGAACTGGTGATCTTGTGCGATGGACAGACAGTGGATCGCTGCAATATTTTGGACGAATTGATGGCCAGGTGAGTAGTCACATTGCACTTGCTTGAAAACCGCCACCAGCGCAAGTTCGTTCAAGTTCCGTGGAGGTGAAGATCCGGGGTCAGCGGATTGAACTTGGCGAGATTGAAGCTAGACTGCTCGAACACCAGGCTTGACCCATCAGCGGCACTTACAGCCTCAGCATGCGCACATTTCCTTGCGCCAAGATTGCTCTATGCAGCAAGGCTGTCCGCGAGTGCGTGGTGCATTGCCACACGCTCGCTCATCATGAGAAAGTTATCGTCAGCTACTGGACGTCCAAAGCAGGCCAAAGCTTGCTGAGAACCTCAGAGCAGAGTTTGCAAGTGCAGTGTGCAGGAGTTGAAGATAGTGAGCTTGAAGAACATTTGAAAGCTGAGCTGCCTGAATACATGCTACCACAGGCCGGGGTTAAGCTGTCACGCACCTGACTGCCACTTCCATGAATTGCGGCTACCCCACAAGCCAGTCTTAACCCATCTGTGCACCACTCGCCCAAAACATTCGCCCAGCCACAGTCTCGTTGGCATCGCTGCTTCGCTTGCAAGTTGTGGAAGCTTGATACAGTGACGTCGACTGGTTTGCAAGGTTCTTATGAAATTGGAGCGGCTGCCAATCAACGCCAATGGCAAAGTGGATCGACAGGCCCTCCCACTTCCCCGCCGAGCTCACGGCGAGGTGGGATGCAGAGGAGCTTCTTATTTTGTTGCTTTCATGCCGCGCTCTCATGCTGCGCTCTGCTGCCCTTGGAAGGTGCCGATGGTGCCAGAGACGGCGCTGCAGGCCCAAACCTTTCTTTGGATTCTCTCTCAGCTCAGCTTCTTCTCAAGAAGACTTCCAAATCCGAATCTTTTTTTTGCTCAAAGACAAAGTCTTCTTCCAAGTTCTTCTCTTCTTCTCCTCGACGCAGGCGCAGCTGCAGAGCTCCTTCGCGGCAGTTTTGGGCCTCGAGGCCTCGGAGGCGGGGAAAACGAAAAGAAAGGAGCTTCTTCTCCTTAAGAAGGATTTAGGGACGTGAACCCCGCGAACACTCTCCGCTACTCAAAAAAGAAATCCTTGTGCTTTCTATAAAGCTACTCGAAATTCGCTCCGCTCAGTTCACTGCATCCACTGCGCAGGGTGCTTTAGAAATTCTGCGCGCAGGTGCCTGTGTCGGCATCATTTTTCACTCTCGGCGGGCATTCCCTGTCTGTTGGGCGGCTTGTGAACCTGATACGGAGAGACTTGAACATCTCAATCACGATCGCGGACGTCTACAGCACTCCCAGCGTGCAAAAGCTGGCAGAGCTGGCTGACCGACACGCTCAGCAAGCGGCGGAAAAGCAAGCGGCTCAAGGGGAAAGGAAAAAGGAGGCCTCTCCCGATGGCTTTCCTCCAGATCGTTACCCGAGCTCTTTCCAGCAGCGGTCTCTCCACCAGATGGCCAACGTGAGTGCTGCAGCCTCGGCGGCTTTGAATGTGGCTTTCTGCTGCCATGTCCGGGCCCTGGCAGCTACTCCGACTACTTGCCAACTTTAATGGCTGTTATAGGATTCAAGTCCATCCAGTTGCATGCCGCAAGTGCGGAGCCCTTGCACATGCTACTGGTAACTAATGCACGATGTTTGGCTGCGCGCATGGGACATTCATCGTGAATGTTGTCATCATCATTCCCCAATAGCCACCAGGTTT